GGTCTTCCGTCCATCCGTTGGTTCACTCCCTAATGGCAACAAAAGCTGGAGTTGCACCGATCCGAAGCCAGGAGCCAGGTGCTTCTTCCCGGTCTCCCATGTGGGTGCAGGGGCCCAAGGACTTGGGGCCATCTTGTACTGCTTTCCCAGGCCATAGTAGAGAGCTGGATGGGAAGTGCAGCAGCCAGGACTAGAACCGGCGCCCATATGGGATGCCGGCACCGCAGGCAGAAGATTAACCTACTGAGCCACAGTGCTGGCCCCAGGAAACCTCTTTATATAACTTGCCTTGAGTCCTCTATATTCTCTGTGATACCCAAAAGATCTCTCAAACACAATGGAATAGAGAGGGTATCAACACATCTACATTTTACCATGATTTGCTCATGCTATTTCTTTTTTTGAATTTTTAAAGATTGATATATTCTTATTTGAAAGTCAGTTACACAGAGGAGAGGGAGAGGGAGAGAGAGAGAGAGAGAGAGAGAGAGAGAGAGTCTTCTATCCACTGGTTCACTCCCCAGTTGGCCGCAATGGCCGGAGCCAGGAGCCAGGAGCCAGGAACTTCTTACAGGTCTCATACATGGGTGCAGGGGCCCAAGCACTTGGGCCATCTTGTACTACTTTCCCAGGCCATAGCAGAGAGCTGGATTGGAAGTGGAGCAGCAGGGTCTTGAAGTGGCATTCCATATGGGATGCCAGCACTGCAGGCCAGGGCGTTAACCCACTACACCACAGCCAGCCTTTCATGCTACTTCTTGTAACATGTTATTTCTCTTCTTCTCTGATCCCTTAAACTAAGTCTCCCCCAAAAAGTGTTACCACCATGAAGTGGCTTTCTTCTCCCTTCCCTTCCCTTCCCTTCCCTTCCCTTCCCTTCCCTTCCCTTCCCTTCCCTTCCCTTCCCTTCCCTTCCCTCCCCTCCCCTCCCCTCCCCTCCCTTCCCTTCCCTTCCCTTCCCTTTCCTCCTTCCTTCTTTCGACAGGCAGAGTAGACAGTGAGAGAGAGACACAGAGAGAAAGGTCTTCCTTTTGCCATTGGTTCACCCTCCAATGGCCGCTGCGGCCGGCGCGCTGCGGCCGGTGCACCGCGCTGATCCGATGGCAGGAGCCAGGTACTTATCCTGGTCTCCCATGGGGTGCAGGGCCCAAGCACTTGGGCCATCCTCCACTGCATTCCTGGGCCACAGCAGAGAGCTGGCCTGGAAGAGGGGCAACCGGGACAGAATCCGGCGCCCCGACCAGGACTAGAACCCGGTGTGCCAGCACCGCTAGGTAGAGGATTAGCCTAGTGAAGTGTTTTTCAATTGCCAGGTAGATTTAAGAACTCTTTGGGCTACAAAGGGTATTTAGCACAGTGAATTATAGAGTAGCTGAAATTTTATGTTGTTTGTTTCTCTATAAAAGCAAAGTAGTTATCCATCTTGTTTCCTGCTGCATTCTGAATGCTCAAACAGTGCCTATTACATGGGAAGTGTTTACCATTTATTGGGTGCGTAAAAACCAATTTGTGAATGTCTCTTCCTAAAGTGGCTAAGTCCACTGGAAAAAGGGATTGTGTCTTATTATTCTAAGCATCCCATAAAGCATTCAGTGTACCTCACAGAAGAAGGCTCTTAATATATGATGTTTGGGGCTGGCGCCGTGGCTCACTTGGTTAATCCTCCGCCTGCGGCGCTGGCATCTCATATGGGCGCCAGATTCCAGTCCCGGTTGCTCCTCTTCCAGTCCAGCTCTCTGCTGTGGCCTGGGAGGGCAGTGGAGGATGGCCCAAGTGCTTGGGCCCCTGAACCTGTATGGGAGACCAGGAGGAAGCACCTGGCTCCTGGCTTTGGATCGGCACAGCACCGGCTGTAGCAGCCTTTTGAGGGGTGAACCAATGGAAGGAAGACTTCTCTCTTTGTCTCTACCTCTTACTGTCTAACTCTGTCAAAAAAAAAAAAATATGATGTTTGTATTGGATTGAATCTTCTCTAGGCATCCCTTTTTTTTAAAAAAAATATTCATTTATTTTATTTATTTGAAAGGGAGAGAGTGAGCGAGCGTTATTGCCATTTGCTGGTTTACTCTCCAAATGTCTACAATGGTCAGAAGGGGGCCAGGCTAAAGCCAGGAATCCAGAACTCAATCTAAGTCTCCTACAAGGGTGACAGGGTTCCAACTGCTTGATCCCATCACCCATTACCTCCCAGGACATGCATTGACAGGAAGCTGGAGTCAAGATATGGCACATAGTGAATTGCTTGCAGGAAATAGAACAACCCTATTATTGTTTTAAGAACTCTATTCCTAAGTTGCACTAGCTGTGAGATCAGATCATTTTGACTTGTTATATAATTGTCACAAACTGCAGGGATGCCATCATCTTCTTAGAAAGGTTAGCCTAATAAACTGGCTGTTCTTGGGCTGGCGCCGTGGCTCACTTGGTTAATCCTCTGCCTGCGGCGCCGGCATCCCATGTGGGCGCTGGTTCTAGTCCTGGTTGCTCCTCTTCCAGTCCAGCTCTCTGCTGTGGCCCGGGAGGGCAGCGGAGGATGGCCCAAGTGCTTGGGCCCCTGCACCTGCATGGGGAGACCAGGAGGAAGCACCTGGCTCCTGACTTTGGATCGGCACAGCACTGGCTGTAGCAGCCATTTGGGGAGTGAACCAATGGAAGGAAGACCTTTCTCTCTGTCTCTCTCTCTCTCACTGTCTATAACTCTACTTGTCAAATAAATAAAATAAAAAAAGAAAGATCATTCTTTCTTTAAAAAAATAAATAAATAAAAGAAACCGGCTGTTCCTGAAAACAGCAAGTGCTAGATCACATAGTGTCTGGAGGTCCATGAAGGCATTTTCTCCTGGGTACCAGGAAATGGTGAGCTTTCTGTAAGCAGTTCATTTTTTGGTAAAATTTTATTTATTTATTTGAAAGGCAGAGTGATGGTAGGGGGTGGGGACATAGAGAAAAAGATCTTCCATTGGGTGGTTCATTTCCCATATGCCTGCAATAGCCAACACTGGGCTAGGCCAAAATCAGGAGCCAAGAACTCCATCTGAGTCTCCAAAATGGGAGGTAGGGACTCAAACAATTGAGCCATCATCTGCTGCATTCCAGGTGCATTTTTAGGAATCTGTATCAGACTCATCACAGCCAGAACTTGAACTCTGTACTCCAATTTGGGAAGTAGGTTTCCTAAGCAGGTTTCCTAACTTATAGTTCAACATCCTTGCCCGAACTAATTTGTTCATCCTAAGGATACCTTCAGTTATGTAATTTAATTATGTGGAAGTCTAAAGCTATTTCATATTGTGCTTCCACTTTTTGTTAAAAAAAAAAAAAAGTATAGGACTTACTTTATGGTGTGGCATGTAATTTATCATTAGGATTCTCATTTGTTCACTGTCCTGATTTCCTTACTCTATTTATCTTGCTCTATTGTTTAAATTTTATAAGCTGCCTTAGATTCTTACTTTTTATTTTTTTATTTCTGGGAGTGGGGTCAGGGGCTGAGCTGGGGCTGAAGAGGAGTGAGAAGAGAAAGGAGGAAGAAGAGGAAGAGGAAAATGAGGAGGATTGCCTTAGATTCTTATTAAAAGAAATCCAGGTCTTCCCATGCGGATACAGCAGTCCAAAGACTTGAGCCATCTTCTACTGCTTTCCCAGGCCATAGCAGAAAGCTGGCTTGGAAGTGGAGCAGCCAGGACTTGAATCGGTGCCCATATGGGATGCCAGCACTGCAGGCAGCGGCTATACCCGCTATGCCACAGTGCTGGCCCAGGCAATGTTTTAAGCTTTCTAAAAGTACAGTTAACTTACAGAACAATCACATGTATTGGCAGATATTCTAACTATTACTGTGCCATGTTACTATAGGTTCTTAGGTGTAGACACTTTGAAACAATGAATGTTTAAAAAATACCAAATCACCATTTTATGAGCTAAATATTTCAATTTGTGAAAAATTTACTTGCTTTTGTAAAGCAATGTAAACTCATAAAATACTTATATAGCTGTCTGCTACATTTGTTGAATTAGCTATACCAAAGTGGGCCCTATTTTTAAATCAGTGCTGTGGTACAAAGGGCTCATGCAATTCAGCTAATTTAAAAACAAAATGCCTTTTTTTTTTTTACTAGATTCTGTTTTTTAAGACATGATAAAAAGGATATTTTGAAATGCAATTAATTAACTGATGGTCAAGATTATTAGTCCATGTACTCCTTATACTAATAGAAACAGTTAACCAACTTTCTGTTTCTTATATTCTTTTTTACTTGCTTGACTCAGAATATCACATGTTTACCAACACAATTTCCTGAGTAAGAGAAAAATACTTAAAAGACTAATTCTTGTTTTGGCAAACAGCCGTTCACTCTTGATTAAAATTCACTTATGAATTGCTTTATGTGCTGTTTTTATAACCTAATGTCTCAAATGTGACAAGACCATAACAGAACTACGCAGTGTATGCTGGTAAGTCAAGTTGATAAATGCTGCTTGTTGCAATGTCTATAGCTTCTGATCTACTCAGGTTAATCAGTGTTCCAAATACTGAGTACGTCAGGAACAAAAATACATCTTGCTATTCATAGAAAACATTTTGCAAAGGAAACCATGAAACCATTTAAGTAGCAGTCTATTAAACTACAGTTTTATAAAGGGCAAGACAAAACAAATTATAAATGAACATTGTTTATCCACTGATCCAGCAATTAAAAAAAAAAGAAATTGATTCTAAGGGAATAGGAAAAACCTTGTTAAAATTTATATATAAAGCTTGTCTCTGTAATGTCTTTATTTAAAAAATTAGAAGAAAAACTAGAACAGTAATATTATCTAATTTATGTACTGAGACACTATGCAGTTATCAATATCCATATTACAGAAATTTATTTAGTGATATTAGAGGAAACTGTAACATACTTTCTAATTATATGAGATGCTACAAAATAATAATCATTTTATGATATTAATTTTATTTTTATAATATGCAATTAAAAGACAATGTGAGAGCAAAAGTGTTCACAATATTTCTGGGAAGCAGACAAAACAATTACAGTTCTATAATTTTTGTTTTGTTGGCTCTTTTCCATAATTTCCTTAATTTTGCTTTTTTTGGGACAATGCGATAAAAAACATGAATCACTTCTATAACTAGGAAGAAAATAAAAAATTTTTGAAAATATTTCTCAGAGAACAAAGATATTATCTTTTAGTTTGCCTAATTTCACTTGTAAAGCATGGACTGAGATTGACTGAGATTAGGGAGTCTGGGGAGAAAAGGAATTAAAAAAAAAGTATAGGCTATGGTTCAAAGAAACGATTTATATTTCTCAAGAAGGAAGCAAATGAACTCTTCATCAAAGCAACCAGAGAAGTGAGTTTAGTCCTACTGGAGGTTAAGAGGAGTACCTGGGTTTGAAACCCAGCTTTTGACTCCAGCTTCCTCCTAATGCAGACCTTGGGAGACAGTGGTGATGACTCAAGTAATTGGTTTTCTGACTCCCACATGGGACACCTGGATTGAGTTCCTGACTCCTGGCTCAGCTGGCACCCAGCACCCGTTGATTTAGGATTTTGGGGAGTGATGGATGGGTGGCTTCTGTCTCTGTGTATCTCTCAAATAAATACATTAAAAAAAGAGACAGAGAAAATTTAGACCAATGTTCCAAGTAAACATAATCTCCCAGGATTACCTTTAATGCATTCTCTATTTGGGTAGACAAGGGAGATCAAGAACTCACTCTCTGTGGAAAGCAGCATGGTGTTTTTGGTTGCCATTAAAGCCTGGAGACACAGAATCCTTGCCTGTTGATAACATTTATTGCCCCACTTTGGAATTCCATCAAAAAAGCCAAGGAATTACTTTACAGGGTTTATATTAACTAAAAGGCTTACATTAAGTATATAGAAGTCCCGCTAACCCCTAAGGCATATGTTGCAAGAGCCCCAGTGGATGCCTGAAACCGCAGATAGTACAAACACTACAGGAATGCAGTTTGTTCTTATACATACATACCTTTGATAAAGTTTAATTTATAAATTAGGCACAGTAAGAGGTTAATAATAATGCAATGGAAAATTGTAACATACTATAATAAAAGTTCTTTAAAACTTAGGAATGGGGGCCAGTGTTGTGGCCAGTGGGGTAAGCTGTCACTTGCAAGGCCAGCATCTCATATCAGAGTGCTGCACTGAATCCCAGCTGTCAAGTACTTGGGCTCAAGTACTTGGGCCCCTGCCACCCACGTGGGAGAACCAGATGGAGTTCCTGTCTCCTGGTTTCAGCCTGGCCCAGTCCTAGATGTTGCGGCCATTTTAGGAATGAACCAGTGGAAGGAAGATCTCTGTCTCTCCCTCTCTGTGTCTCTGCCTATTAAATAGTAAGCAAACTTTTTTTTTAAACCTTGTGATTTATTTCTGCAATTTTCCACATTATTTTTGGACCATCGATGACTTTGGGTACCTAAAACTGTGACAAGTGGGGCCATGGATAAGAGGAACTATTGTATGCATAATTCTTGACACTGAAATATGATACCCATTGAATTTGAGTTCTTTGGGAAAACTACATCTGCTCTTCAAGAACAAAAATGAGGAAAAGACCAGATAATTCAGGTGACTAGAAATGAGTTACAGTGGCTTTTGTTTTTTAGCCTGAATCTAGTGAAGCCAGAAACAGAAGTTATTTATACATAATCTCATCCAGTCTGGTATTTAGAAGAATAGATAAGCTATATTCCTATTGATCAGATGGAGAAATCAGAAAAAAAAAATCCAACACCTTCAATAATTTACAGACTGACTTAAATTTCTGTTCACTTTTTTTTTTCTTTTTTTGACAGGCAGAGCTAGACAGTGAGAGAGAGAGAGACAGAGAGAAAGGTCTTTCTTCTGTTGGTTCAATCCCCAACTTGCTTGCGCCGATCCGAAGCCAGGAGCCAGGTGCTTCCTCCTAGTGGGCCATCCTCCACTGCCTTCCTGGGCCACAGCAGAGAGCTGGACTGGAAGAGGGGCACCGGGACAGAATCTGGCACCCCAATCAGGACTAGAACCTGGGGTGCCAGCGCCGCAGGCGGAGGATTAGCCTAGTGAGTCACGGCGCTGGCCAAAGATTTATTTATCTATTTATTTGAAAGTCAGAGTTACACAGAGAGGAGAGGCAGAGAGAAGTCCTCCATCTGATGGTTCAATCCCAGATGGCCACAACGGCTGGAGCTGTGCCGATCCAAAGCCAGGAGCCAGGAGCCCTTCCCGGTCTCCCACGTGGGTGCAGGGGCCCAAGGACTTGGGCACCCTCCACTGCTTTCCCGGGCCAGAGCAGAGAGCTGGACAGGAAGTGGAGCAGGCAGGTCTCGAACCGGCGCCCACATGGGATGTCGGCGCCTCAGGCCAGGGCGTTAACCCACTGTGCCACAGCGTAGGCCCTCTGTTCACTTCTCAATGATGTTTGCAAACTACAAAAAATAAAGTATTAATAATTTTTTTTCTGAAACAAATAACAGTATCAGTAGACATCTGCTGAGACTTCTCACTCAAAGGGTAGTCTGTGGACAAGCTGCATCGCATTTGCCATAAATGCAGAATTTCAGGCTTCACTCCAGACCAAATGAATATCAGTCTTCAGTTCAACAAGATCGCCAGGTATTCCCTATGTGCACAAAAGCTTGAGAGATACCGCATTTTTTTCTGGCATTGGAGATACCAAAATGATGTAATGCAGGTCCTCTAATAATTTTCTAGACCAGGAAGGGAGGAACATACATAAAAGATAAACTATACAAGGAGCATATCCATCCACAGGATGACAGGCATAGAGAATTTATGGAAGAAGAATCTGAAGGAATACGAAAGTCACTCAAGGTTGGGGCATTGGTGGCGTCTGAAAGGAAAGCCAATACTTGGAAAGCAAGAAAAAAATGGAGTATAGAATATTCAGCCCTCCTTTCCATAGAGTTGCTTTAAAGAGTTTTGTGTATTTCACATACCCAGAGTTCTGAGGACGGTCACTATGCTGAGGGAAACAACTTAATTATGGGAACATGCAAACAGCGTACTGATCAGGTAGCAAAGCTTGAGGAAATACCAGTGTGAGGAACTTCCGGAGAGCACACTGCCTCATTCTGGAATGCACAGCCTTCTGTGAATGAGGGCCTGCTGCTTCCCCCAAACACGCACGGCACCTTTTTTTTTTTTTTTTTTAACAATAGATGTGCTACATTTAGCTTTTATTTAAAATGTTGGGAAACTTCTCTTCGAAGCATTCTTGAAAGCAACTGTTTTGGAAAGCACAGATTTTACAATACGAATAGCCGATTCCTAAATTACATGTCCTACAGTGTTTTCATTATAGTTGAAATCAGTGCTTTCAAAAGGAGAATTTTGCACATACTACATAGGTCCAAGGGTTACTGTTTTGCTATTTCATGTCACAAAATACAACTCGACACACAAGGGTGAAAGGGGAGCATGCGTGTGGATGGTTGTGGATGGTTACATTTAGGGCCCCCAAAGTCCTTCTCTTTGGCCTTGCAAGTGGTAGGATTGTCTCACTGAGATATAAATAAAATTTCTTACTTAACAACATCCTGAGAACACCATGGCTCAGTAATATTTATGCCAACTGTAACTGATCCTGGACTCAAACTGGCACGGGTGTCAATGACTTTTACCTATTGATGGACTTGTAAGGTGACAGGCTCCTTTCATGTCCAAAAATGGTCATTTTCCAGCATCTCTGGAAGGTTTAAAAATATTTTCCATCCATCTCAACACAAAGCCTACTGTCTTTAAATAATGGAACAGGGGCTGACACTTGAAACTGACAAGCAGCACGTGTGCATGAGGGAGATAAAGCTGGCACAGACTGCTGCAGCCTCCCGGGGTCTGGAAATGCTAGCAGCTCCAGTTGGCCGCAGCGCCTCAGCCCCAGTGTACACTGCATTAGGGAAACTCGAGCCCCTCTCTCTGACCCTGAGGGACACAGGGCTGGTTGGAATATGGTTATTGTTTAAAGACAGTCAGCACAAGGGCCCCTCTTTATGAATGCAAAGAAACTGGAAAGAACAAGAAGAGCTAAAAGGTTAAGCAATGAGATCTTGAAGGAAACAGTATCATTTGGTTAAAAAACATAGTTAATGCAAGTAAAGAGGAGTAAAAGAATCATTATGGAGGAATTATAAAAAGGAAAACAAAGGGATTGAAAGCTAAACTTTTGGTGAGAATCATTCAGACTAACATACTAGAAAACAGTGAGACAAAGGAGGCTGATATAAGAAACAGGGAAATAAAAAAGTGTTAAGGAATGGAGAAATAAGCCTGTTAAGGAATGGGGAAATGAAACCAGTTAAATGTTAAAATTGAAATAAAAAGGAAGAGAAGAAAACAGAAAGGGTACCTTATAGAAGAAAAGAGTTATCAGGACTTGTCAGTCCCTGTGGGGGCCAAGGTGGCACTCATGGGATGAAAGGCAGGGGACAAGATGGTGGGGGCAGGAGCAGAGAGAGGGCCACAGTCCTTAGCCATAATAGGAGAAGCGAATCCCAGAGGAGCAGGTAAAGCTAAGATGAAACTCAAAACCGTAAGGGGAGAGCTAGAGAAGTGCCAAATCCAAAAGCATACAGAGGTGAGGGTCTTCACAGACCGAAAAGTCCACGGGTGACAGTTTCATGACGGATTTAATTTTCTAAAAGATTTTTTTAAAACCTCTTTAGCCTTGTCTTCTTTTTTTTTTTAACTTTTATTTAATAAATATAAATTTCCAAGTACAGCTTTTGGATTACAGTGGCTTTTTCTCCCCCATAACTTGCCTCCCACCCACAACCAATCCATCTCCCGCTCGCTCTCCCATCCCATTCATATCAAGATTCATTTTCAATTATCTTTATATACAGAAGATCAGTTTAGCATATATTAAGTAAAGATTTGAACAGTTTGCACCCACACAGAAACACAAAGTGTAAAGTACTGTTTGAGTACTAGTTATACCATTAATTCACATAGTACAACACATTAAGGACAGAGATCCTACATGGGGAGTAAGTGCACAGTGACTCCTGTTGTTGACTTAACAAATTGACACTCTTGTTTATGGTGTCAGTAATCACCTGAGGCTCTTGTCATGAGTTTCTAAGGCAATGGAAGCCTTTTGAGTTTGCCAACTCCGATCTTATTTAGACAAGGTCATAGTCAAAGTGGAGGTTCTCTCCTCCCTTCAGAGAAAGGTACCTCCTTCTCTGATGGCCTGTTCTTTCCGCTGGAATCTCACTCACACAGATCTTTCATTTAGGTGTTTTTTTTTTTTTTTTTTTTTTTTTTTTTTTTTTTTTTTTCCCCAGAGTGTCTTGGCTTTCCATGCCTGAAATACTTTCATGGGCTTTTTAGCCAGATCCGAATGCCTTCAGGGCTGATTCAGATAGCCTCGTCTTCTTCTTCATCTTGAAGATGGGCACCAGAAAACATAGCTTGAGAGGAACTGAATATTAGAGCAAATGGGTATAAAGCTACTGGGTCAGTCACTGGACACAGCAGTCACATGAACAGTCCACAAGATGATAGTTGAGCAATGCAAAATGGAAGTGGAATTCATTTATTTCCCTAACATTCTTTTCAGAAATATCTATTGAGTATCTGCTATGTACCAGTTATCTTCTGAATGTTATCAGTGGACAAACAAAAATTCTTTGTTTCCTGGAGTTTACAGGTTGGTGGGAAAAACAAAAAAATAAATACAGGGGAGGATTTTTAATCTAGCAGTTAAAACACAGGTCGAGAGGCCCACATCCCACATCTCATGACACAGGTTTGACTCCTCGTTTTGGCTCCTGTTTCTATCTTCCTCCTAATGCAGACTCTAGAAGGCAGTGGGGATGGCTCAAATACTTGGCTTCCTGCCATCCATGTGGAGGACCTGATTGAGTTCAGGCTCCTGACTGTTGAGGGCATTTGGAAGTGAACTAGTGGATGGAAACCCTTTCATCCTCTGCCTCTCTGCCGCTCAAATAAATACAATCAAAATTTTAAAAACCTGAGTATGTTCAATACATACATGGCACAGTATTTTTAGAAGCTAATACTTGCTGCAAGAGAAAGTAAACCAAAATAGGGTAGTATAAGCAACTGAGGATGTCAGGGTGTTGCCACTGTAAATGGGACAAGCAGAGCTCTTTCAGAATGAGATCTTCAAGCACAAATACTACTACGGCACAAATAACTGAGGTAGCTATGTAGCAATTGGATTTCTGCAAATAAAGTATGACGATATTTTGTTGTTACTAAAAGCCTTAAGAAAAGCTAAATTTATGGTTACGAATCTTATCTTAGAGTGTTCTCACAACTATACTGCATTCTCCTTGCCAGGGAACAGTGTTCATTTGGAGTTAAACCACTGTGTATTTGATCTTGTAGCAGCAGCACTGGTGAAAGTCATGTTCACAGTTGTCTTCAGAAAAGCTTCCTTCTAGAAGCACTCCCCCCCACCATCTCTCTCAGTACTTCCTTAGTCTCCACAGCACTTATCTTATTTATTGTGTCTCCCTATTAAAACAGAACCTGTGTGAGATAAGGGAATTTTGTCTGATTCTTTGTCTCCCTCACTGCAGGATCCTCAAGACCTAGCACTGTAGGACAGATGTCAAGTGCTTGGTACATGGCTGAGTAAATGAAAGCAATTATCAATTATGAATTATTTTAAGAAAGGAACTACAATTTGGAAAATTATCAGGAGAGTTTCACATTTCATAAAGTCTTGGAAATCAGATTTCAAGTTTGCAGCTCGTTACTTAACTAAAACTCTGAAGACTTGTGATCTGCAGCAAATGTGTGACGCTGGTGGGAAGAAACCACTTAGAATGCACCCTAATGAACTGCTCAGCTTCTGCGAGAACACGAGCTCATCTGTATGGAGCAAGTTACGTCCCTCGGTGGAATGAAAACTGGAGATTGGAGGCCTCTGGATGTAGCCCTCTTTCATAGAGACTTCGATATAAAATGCTCCTTCTTAATCTGACAGTGTACAGAGGCAGTGTGGTAGAGGGATCAGGGTACTGAGAGAGCTCAGGAGATCCGTGAGGATTTGTCTGGAGCTCTGTGAGTGACCTGGATGACTTACTGCATGTTATCATGCTTCAGTTTCCTCAAAGCTAAAGTATGGTGATAGCGATATCAGCAAATGATGGTACCTACGTCTCACCAAATTATTGTTGGGACCAAATGAGATAGGTTATATTTAGCTGTTTTATCAATTAAAAAAAGAGTTTGGAAAAATGTATTACTTCTCAAAATAAAAATGATGGTTAATATTTAGAAAGTTCCAGGTTTGTTCAGTACCTGGAATTCATATTAATATTTAATTGTGAAATTCTGGGTTAATTAATATTTCTGATGTATATTTAGCTCTAGCATCATAACTAAAAAATTTTATATTGCTTAAAAATATATATATGTTGGCCGGTGCCGC